TCATTGTTCTTTTTGTTACCACCTGTTTCTTTTCTGTAACTTTCTTGCCTGTTGAATAAAAATGGAGCAAAAACCTGATTCAGGGTTATTTTCCTAGGAATCCTGATCTCTTGAAGGATTTACCTGGGAGTAACCACTTCGGGCCTCTTACTACTCAGGAGAAATGGGCTTTGAGTAATCCTTTGTGTCTACATCACCCTGGAAGAGGTGACAAAAAAACCTCACAGAAAGCATGTAAAAAAATTCTAATTACTAGCTGTAAAAAATACTATGCTAGATCCAGACAAGGCACAGTGAGAAAGAATTTTCCTGGGAGGTGGGGTGGTAGGGAAGGCAGGGCACCTATTTAAGTTGTGAGCAGTGTCAGAAATGAGCCTACAGCAATACTGCTCTTCATTTGCAGAAACTAGAGAGAAGGTAAAAGCATGGATGGATCTCTGAATAATATAGGAACAAGACTTCCCCTCAAGTGGGTCATGACGCTGGACAGCTGAGAGCCTAAACAAAGGTCAGCCAGGCTCCGTGCCTTCCTCCAGGCAACCCCACCACCCTCCCAGGTTTGCATCGGGACTGCAAAACTCAGGCCTGCATTCTACTTCTGTTCTTGCTCACCACTTACTAAGGATCTGCCAAAGCTTTAAGCTTTTCAAGTTTTCATCTCATCTAGCTAGTATGAATGAGAATGATAATACTGTACACCAAATACTTATCTGGATGGTCAAATAAGACAGCATTTGGAAATATGTAATGTAAGCAATCTGTTTACTGTGACTGTGATGATGATGATGATGATGATGATGGGGTTGATGTGTATGACAAGGTTTAATGAGGCTTTACACCCTTTATGGAAACAACCTGAAATCAAATACTTTGTTAGCTTATGAGCTCCTCTTTTGCATATTTTAAAATATCCATAAAAGAATCTAGGACAGTGATTCTCAATTAGAGGCATTTGGAAATGTGTACAAGGGATGAGGGTTGTAATTTTCTCGATGTCACATGACTGAGAGTTCTACTAGAATGTAACGGGCAGGCATACCAAAGGTTCTGCAAAACATGGGCCATTCCCACACACCAAAGAACACGTTCAACCCAAAATGCCAATAGTGCCCTACTGAGAACCACTGAAGTATGCCTGACACAGAGGAAGCATTCAGTAAACATTTGCTAAATCAATGAACACCACTTATACTATTTTTTTCCCCAGAGCACAGCAGACTGCCAGTCCCTTGAAATCAAGGCTGTAGCTCATTCATCTTTGTCTTCTCAGGTCCCCAACCCAGAACCTGACATGTAACAAGCATTTAATGACTAAGTCTTAAACAAATCAATAAATCAAGACAATCCATTAAACTGCAAAAAATAATTATTTGACATAGGCAAGTTAAGGCAATGATGTTCAACACATGTTCTCTCCAGGTATAAAAAGGTCACTGGAAAGACAACCCTAAAACCTAGAGGACCTGGGGAAATAAATGAGGCTTTGCTCCATCTCCAGGTGTCACATTCCAATTTTGAAACTTGATCACCCTAAGAACAAAATCAGAAAAAGCAGTGCTTTGCAGAGGTAAATTACTTTATTCCAAAGACATTCTATTCCTCTGGATATCAGTTAAAAAGTAGGCAGCTCAAAATAAAGCCACTTGCATATCTACTTATTTCTTCTGGGGAAAAAAGTCACCAGGAACAGTACACAGAATGTATCATATTGCATACTTTTGTGCTTCAAAAAAACAAAATTTGTATTCTCAAGGACTGATATAATGCAAGCAAACCAAGTGCTTAAAATAGCAAAAGATTGCAAAGCGAATGAAGGAAGGACAGAATAAAACAATGGAAAAAGAGCAAAGAAAGCATAAGAAGGTATTTTAAAGATTAGATCATTTTTCCCAACTCAGAAAAAATGCAAACTTTTCATCAGAAGTTAAGAGGGAAAAAAAGCACAGCAAGTAAATTGTAATGATGTGGCAAAAATCGGGGTAAATATTATAAAGCAATATATTAAAGGAAACAAGAAGAGAAAAACTAAGTATATGAGAAGCCCATAGTATTTAAAATAATGTAAGTAGTAACAGGATTTTTTAGATGTTTAAATAGATTTCAGAATAGAAAGAGTGAATTACTGCAAATATATTTTTAACTGACACTTCTCCTTAACACAAAAGTGCTTTTTTAAAACTGGAAATTCAATTGCAAAGATCCAAAAAATTGACTGTTTTGAAAGACAAAATATAACCAAATTAAATTTTATAGTAAGAGCTTTTCATGTCTCAGAGCAGCCAAACACTGCTAAGTCTTCAAAAATAAATTAAATTATTGATACCAATATAACCAGGAATTGCATTACAGGGACTTTTATGATGTGGGATATAAAAGGAAAAGTTCCCAGGAGAAACGTTACATGTAAGCAAATGAACAAATAAAGAAGTGTCACTCAAAGTGATGTCAAAATTTTAATACTATCAGAAAGCTTCCTAACTTGCTTCTTTAGGGAAGTTAAAGACATTATCTGCTGACTCCTATCTCAATTTATTATGACCAGTTCACCTGAACAAAGTGTTAACATGGGAGCTAGTATTAACACATTTTTTTCTCTGTTATATATATTAGAAGAAAAAAAATGTGGTAACTGTTTGAATAAATTCTCAGAAATTTACCTATACTGGTACTGAGATTACAATGAATTTTAAAGTGTTAGATTTTTTCAAAGGGATGACAGGGAGTATCTAATAATACAGAAAAATAGATCACAACTACCCAAGAGCCACAATATTTCTTCACAATGAACACTTTGGTTCTGGTATGTAGAAAGACGCTGGATTAAATGTTTAAATTCTCTTTTCTTTCCAGTCTCATTTCCTATCCACCTATTTTGAAGCATACTCAATGAAAAGAAAACTTCTACTAAAATGACCTCAAGTGGGGCCAGCCCGGTGGTGCACTCGGTAGAGTGCAGCGCATGGGAGCACAGCGGCGCTCCCGCCGAGGGTTCGGATCCCATATAGAGACCGGTCCACTCACTGGTTGAGCGCGGTGCGGGCGCGACACCGAGGGTTGCGATCCCATTGCCGGTCACGGTACGGGCGCAACACCGAGGGTTGCGATACCGTTACTGGTCATGAAAAAAGACAAAAAGGGGGGAAAAAAAAAATGACCTCAAGTGTCTACACAGCTTACTTCTGGGTTACAAGACTTATCTTTCATCACAGACCAAGCATATTCCATACAACTGGACACATGGCAAGCTTAGAGCATTTGATTATTACCTCTAGGCTTGTACATCTATAAAGTAGTAAAATTTGAACCATCAACAGAGGCCAAACATAGGAGCTGCTGGCTCATTTATAAGCTTATAGGGGCTTACACTCACCAGAGCTTTGTGTTCTTAGTTCTTTTTTACATAAAAATAAAAAATAAAAAAATAGCAATTCCAAAAGCCACCATAAAGAAGTAAAGAAGGTGACATCATTAAACATAATGAGGCCTTTCTGCTTTGAATGCAGTCACATACATACACAAACTGAGTTTTCACCAGAAAATCACATCTAGAACAACTCCATTGGGTAAGCACCTACTGAAAAAAGGAATTTTCTTGGCTGATGAAATGCATAGGTTCTCTAAAACTATTGCAATTATTACAGACATGGCAGTCCTAACACAAACCTCCACTTACTTTAAAAGTTTCTGTTTTAAATGGAATATGACCACCTCACTTCTACCCAAAATATGTAGTTAAGTAGCTTATTTTAATAAGTTGTTCATCTCTATAGCTCTCTTCAGTAATTCCACTGATGTATTATGGTACCAAGGGCATTTCATTTTTAGATCTAAAATATCCCCTTCTTTGTGGACAGAAGGTAAATGCACATTAGAAGGGATAAAATGCATTATGTTCTTTGAGCAATGTAATCTGCTAAGTGACATAACTTTTGGCCCTGAACTCACACAGGTTTTTACTCCATAGGCATCTGCTTTCCATCTAAAACTGAAAGAATCAAAAGAAAGATCCAATTTAGTGACTATCTGGGTCCTCAAAGTAAAATTAAATATAAAATAGTAGTAATCAAATATGTATATTGCCTGAAACCACAGGCTAAAGAGATGTGGTCTCAGCGATCATTTCTCCAGACATTCTTCATCTTCCCTGCAAGCCCTCCATGATCGTCTCTCAAACCTATTTAGACATCTATTCACTGTAAACTTCAAGCCTTCTTTCCAATGATCACTTCCTTACTATCAGAAGATAACTTTAAGCTCCAATCAACAAATCCCTTGCCTTCTGCTAACTCAAAACCAGTTTCCCATTTCCCTTAAGAAATGGCACTATCTGCCATTTACCTTCCATTATTCAACTGATGCAATTTGCTAATATCCTTTTTTTATGACACTAGCGCAATTAAATTATATCCACATCTAAAAATTATAACAAATATCAACATTTATTTGAAACCTTGTTTTAAAACTTAAAAGGCACTCATGTTTATATTTTATTTTCACAATGACATCCCAAGGTCATCAAAAAGGAAGATCAAGATCTTTTGCAAAAACTGGTCTGCCTTCACCGTGCTGCAATTACTCCTTCAACAAATACCTTGCCTAGCCTGTGCTACGTATTCATTTCTACGTAGATGTCCTTGAATGGCTGCCCTTTCTCCTCTACATACATACCTATGTCTAATAGCACAGAGTTTCCTTGCAAATTTTCTCCTTTCTCCCCCATCCCCATTCCCTTGGTAAACTGTCCACTCCATCCCAATATCACTTTTCCCCAAAGCAAGGGTTAGCAAAGGTGCGCAAAGCGCTTCACCCGCAGCTGTCACCGCGGAGGCCGGGCACGCATGCGCAGCGCGAGCGGCCCGGAGCCGGCGCCGCAGGTCGTTTGGCAGGTTGGGTGCGGGCCTGAGGTAGAGCCCAACGGCAGTGCGGGCCGCTCAGGAAGGTTGGGGATGGCGACGGCCGCGAGGACAACGTGGCGTGCGGGCCGGGCGGGCCACACTCACAATTTCAGCATCCACTCGCCCTGCATCACCAGCGTCCAGTTGGAGGCGGTCATGGGCTGGACCCGGCTCTGCTCCGCCGGTAGCGCGGCCTGCTCGGGGTCCTCCGTCGTCGCCGTCACCCTGCTGTGGGTAAGCTTTTTCAAAGTGTGCTTTATAAGCATTTACTAGGTGTGCAAAACATGAAATTGGGTAATGTGGTTAATACAACATGGAAAAGATGCAGCTTTCGTCCTGGGCTTAAAACAAAGACAGCTATAAAATTAAGAGTACTTCAGGGCATATGAGATAAATTTTCAATCAGTACTTACAGGAGAGAAAGATTAATTTTGCCTGCAGAGAAGATCTTCCCTGAATTGGGTGTTAATTATAGTAGCAGCGAAAAACTAAGTAGACCTAGCCCTTATCACCAAAATATAGGACTCAAGAGTTTACAAAGTATACTTAATTTAGTATAAGAAGTCCAAGGCTGAGGGGGAGCATCTGGTGAGGACCTTCTTCCTAGTGGGGACATTCTGCAGAATCCCAAGGCAGCACAGGGCATCACATGGGAAGAAAATGTCTTTGAAATGCATGTTACTAAGACTCACTATTATTATGTATATACTAATCCTATAAACTCGATGGAAAACATCTTACTGTGCTTATAAAAATAAATGATTCATAAGCAAGAATTCTACCATATTTTTCAGTGAGCTTTTTTGTGTAGGATATGTGATTGGTAATGAAGTTCTTAAAAATAGCATCTTATGCTAAGGAACTATTATTAATTTTTTTGAGTGTGATTAAGATGTTATGACTATATTTTTTAAGTCTTTACTGGTTACAGTTAGTGAAATATTTATGGGTGAAATAATATGATGCCCATTCTCTTTAAAATCCTCCAGAAATAAAATGTGGGGAGTTGAGAGAATATGGATGAAACAAGAGTGGTACAACATCAGTCAGTGTTGGATTTAAGTTCATTTTACTATTTTATCTACTTTTGTGTACGTTCAAAAATTTACAAAATGAAAAGTTAAAAAGAAAGAAAGGCATCAGAGGCACAAAACAAACTCATTGCTAAAGCTCTTCCTGTGTCTAACACAAATTGGGTGTCAAGGCTTGCTTCATTTCTTGGCCTTCCGACTGAGGACAGTAGGAAGGAGTATAGCAAGAATGTGTGGGAGGCACTTTACTGTGAGGAGGCACAGACCAGGGTAAGGGAGCAGTTGCTGTTAGACCATGACTGTCATCTCAGCTCTGAAACTTCCTAGCCATGTGATTTGGGACTGAAACTAGTTAACACAAAGTTTCTGCTTTAATGTGGGTAAAAATAGAACCTCCTCCAAAAGGTGGCTGTGAAGACTATAAAAAGTATAATGCCTAGTGTCAGGCTGGATCATAGACCTCTCTGCCCCATCCTGTGCAGGTCCTGAGTCAGGTAGTCAAAAGAAAAACTGAGCAGCTGCAGGCAAAGTGGACATGCTTTATTCTTCAGATGCGAGCTCTGCCAACCAGCGGTTCAGAGCCGCTGCCTTCCGTACTAAAGAGTACACAATAGCAGCAAGGAGCCAAAGGGTATATAGGCGCGCATGCACACTAACTCTACTCATACGCAACTTGTTTGCAAAGGATGTGCTGAATCATACCCAGGCAGATATGAAGCGAGAGGGCCTGACTAAACTAACTCCACTTTCCTCATGCTCCACCCCTTCAGGATCTCTTGCCATACAATCTATGTGTCTGAGATCTTCTGTGATGTTCCCTTAGCCAGGATGACTGACCCTTGCATCCATATAACCTCTGTACTTACTGTACATTCGATACACCTTGAGGCTTGTCCCCGTAGCTCTATCCTTTCAACTATTAGCCACAAAAATCCCACCCATACACATGTCTGGTTAGTAGTTGTCTTTGGATGATTTTCCACAGGAATCCTGCAGCCATACTGGTAGGAAACTTGGTGCAGAGTCAGCACGTTGACATATTAGCCACACGAATGTATGTATGTGTCTAGTAAACTCTGGTGCCTGCAGCCACAATACTGCTCTGGGGCCTTACTAGACAATACAAATGGAAGATTAGTAGCCGTATCAATGGCTGTGAAAATATACCTGTAGTTCTCTGACTTTGGTAGTGATCCCACAAGATCCACCTGCCACCATGTTAGGAACATCCTCCTATCGGGTTTTCTGCCTATCTGTACGTGGCAACTGGTGAGCCATCAAAGGTACATCTGCCCATCAGGGGCATTCTTCCTTTGGTTTATGTGGCACCCAGCAAGCCAGCAACCACACGGTCTTGTAGCCAGCATGCTGCATTCTCAGGTTTATGCGGCACCTGGTGGGCCATTCTCCAATGTAGATACCCAGCTACAGCAGCTACTGAAGCTCTCTCCAGCCATCTTACCTTAGCCAGTGCATCAGTTTCATCATTGCCTGGATTGGCTAAAGGGAAACGTCCTGTGACATGGAAAAGACTTACTTCCTTTCCATGTCCTAATTCCCATAACTCTTGCCACTGTTTGTCCTCACAGGGGTTGGCGGCCTACCATCCACTGTTGATATTTCCAAGTACATATCCAAAGGATAAGACCCTTTTATGTGGTCCACTCACATTGATCCAAATAACCTAGCAACATTGGAGTTGCCTTGGATAAATCTGCAAGAGAATCAGAGGTTAGTAAGACATCATCTACGTAATGAAACATTGTAACCATGCTGGCCTAGTCCATCTGGCTAGGTCCCCAGCCACCAAACCATGACAGATGGTTGTGCTATGCAGGTAGCGTTGAGGTAACACCTGAAAAGTCCAGTGCCTTCCTTCCCAGGTGAAGGCAAATTGATCTTGGCTATCAGCCAAGAACGGGATAGAGAAAAAAGCATTTGCAAGGTCCAGTACATAATAATTAGCTGAGTCATCAGCTGATCCATCAAGTTATGAAATGAAGGCACAGCTGCATGCAAAGGAGGCACTACTTTGTTTAGTTCCCAATAGTCCACAGTCATTCTCCAAGTACCATCAGGTTTTTTCACCGGCCATCCCTGGGTGTTAAAGGGACTGTGTGCAGAACAAACAATGCCGACATTTTCTAGCTCCGATATAGTGACACCTATCTCTGCACATCCTCCTAGCAAGCAATAGTATTTCACATTGACCACACACCTTGGCTTGGGTAATACCTGTGGGTCACGTTTAGCATGTCTTCACAACACAGGCCTCACTGTCCATATCTGCAGCTGGAATTTTCCAACCATCATTTGCAGGCATAGCCCATAAAGTACATCTATACCCAAGACGTATTCAGCTATTGGGGATATATACACAGTATATATACAATGGGGCAATTATCCTATGACCAGCAGCAAAAACACAGCTTTGATTTTAATAAGAATATCCTCCATAGCCATCAACACTCACTGTGTCCCCCAGAAACTTATTTGGCTTGCCATGTATCAGGCTACATTCTGCAATGATATTCACTAATGCTAACACACACTGTACATTTGCCATCCACCCCTAGGTCCCACAACTGTAGGAGCCAAACAGCTAGGGGTTTGCCTGTTTCTGATGCACAACAGGTCATGCAAGGAAACACACAGTTTCTCCCAACTCGCAGTCAGGGTCATCATCATCTTCAGCTTCAGGAACGGGGGTGATCAGTCTCTGTACTTCATTCTCCGAAATGTCTGCCTTTTGCTGTGCTGCCTCATGGACTGCCCGGTCCATACTGGCTCACAGTATAGCAAACCACAACCAGCCCATCTGGCCAGCCATTCTCCAGGACTCCTCATCTTTAACCATGGAGCTCAATACACTGAGAGATTTCTCTGTGCTCTCGGGGGACCCAGTCACTTGGTCCCATGTTTCCAGTGGAGCCCAAGTCCACAGGAATGGTGCCACCAGGTACCACATGCTTGAGGGCAGCCACATCTCCTTCCCCTCCTGAGGGGCTCCTTTCTCCCTTACCTGCTCATCCTTCCGAAACTACACCAATTGTCGGGCTGGATCACAAGACCCTCTGCCCCATCCTGTGCAGGTCCTGAGTCAGGTAGTCTAAAGAAAAAACGAGTAGCCGCCAGCAAAGTGGACATGCTTTAATCTTCAGATGTGAACTTGGCCGACTAGCAGTTCAGAGCAGCTGCCCTCCATACTGAAGAGTACACAATAGCATCAAAGAGCCAAGGAGTACGTGGGCACAGATGTGCACTAACTCTACTCCCACACAACTTGTTAACAAAGGATGTGCTGAATCATACCCAGCCGGATATGAGGTGAGAGGGCCTGATTAAACTAACTCCACTTTCCTCACACCTACTATGACTCAAAAAAGGTTATACAGTTATTATTTGGAGGCAACAATATGATATTTTGCTTCTAATCCTCTCTATTCTTTCTAGACTAAAGTCAAATTCAATTATCATGATACACAATGTCCTTCACAAGCCAGCTTCAGTTTTGCCCACCCTAATGTTCTCACAATCCCCTGTGCTCCAGTAACACAAAGCTACTCCCCAGCCCCCAAGTACATTGTGTGCTTTGATGCCTCCTTCCCTCTTAGTTCTGCTTAGAATGCTCTTCTTCTCTGGTTGCCTAGTGAATCATTATACACCCCCTATCATGTAGTTCATATCTTGCCACCCATCGCCCTGGCAGAATGAACTGCTATGTCTTCTCAAATAGCTCTTCCGTATAAATCCTCCACCCCTTCTCATATTGTAATGTAATTGCATGTACTTATTACCCTCTACCTTAGTCTGTTTCCTGTCCTCATAGTATTATACCTGAAACAGGGTAATTTATAAAGAAAATAAATTAACTTATTTTGGTTTTGAAGGCTAAGAAGTCCAAGGTTGAGGGGGTGCATCTGGTGAGGATCTTCCTGGTGGAGACTTTCTGCAGAATCCCAAGATAGCACAGGGCATCACATGGTAAGAGGACTGAGCATGTCCATGTGCTCTCTTCCTTTCCTTATAAGGCCACCAGTCTGTTGCTATGGCAACCCATTAATCTGTTAACTCATTAATCCATGAATTGATTAATTGAGTCTATGCCCTCATAAACTAATCACCCCTTAAAGACCTAATCTTTCAAATACCACAGTGGGATTTCCTACCCTCTTAATACTG